TGGTGCTACCATAATGGCCTCTACTACATGGGCTTTATGCGCTATCCGTTACTACACACAGACGTAGAATTACGAACTCACACTGATCAGTTGCAAATTGTTAATGAAGTGTTATCTTCTTGTAAAAAGTCGATAAAGGGGATTAAAGGCCATTGTGCTCTTCTTGAATTAGATTGCTTCGATATAGTTTGGAACATGCCAACCGACTATATGCACGGCACCTTACTTGGTGTGTGCAAAGAACTATACCATCGCTTTGATAAAATTCTTTCAAAAGCAGAGAAACTGCTCTATGCCGAACCAATGGGTATAATTTAATTGTGTCACGATCTAAGGCGAGCTCTACGTCCTTTAGATGATGTCAAAAAATATACGGCTTTAGAATTGAAGATTTGGCTATTATTCATTAGTGTAGTATGTTTACATGATATTTTGGATAGCCACATCATGGAATCGTATCTTCTTCTGGTAAATAACATGTACATTATGCTACAAGATTTCGTTAGTGAGGAAGAGTTGAATAATTGCGAGTATGACTTACTAAAATTTACTGGTAAAGCTGAAGTTATATATTGCACTGAATTTATGACGTTCAATATACATGCTTTAACACATTATCCGGAAAGCATTCGTAGGGCTGGTCCGTTTTGGAATAACTCTACGTTTCCCTTCGAAAGCGCGATTGGTACTATTTTAAAAGTAGTCAACTCTCCGAATGGTAACACGTTACAGATAGCAGAGAAGTGGATAAGAAAAAATACTTTTAAACGGCACTTAATTGTTAATAAATACCAGTATAACGAAAAGTCTGTTAAATTTTGTGACTCAGTGTTTGATGCACGATTGCCACTGAAAAATGTGACAATCATAAATGGCTTTACATTGATTGGTACTGCGTTTTATGACGAAACAATACAAGACCTTGTGCACGAGTATCTAAATTATTTGTCCAGTTGTGTGTCATTGTACGATAAATGCATTTATAACAATCAGTATTATCATTCAGTTTGGTATACTAGAGCTAAGAAAGCTGATGACTCGATAGTAAAGCTACTTTGTGGCACCGTTGTACAGATCGACAGTTTCGTCGAGGCTGATAACCAGTGTCTTTAAGTAGGATACCAGTGGTTGGTTAGAAATAATGATTTCAATGGAATAAACAAAGAACCCATAGTTTAGCATATACTTGCGGTGTCGAAAAAATCAAATACGTTTACGACAGTTAATGCTGACAGAATTCTTCGAAAAATGAATTTCATGGATACTGGAGAGAGAAAATTTGTGTCTACTCTTACCAATAACATTAAAACGCATTAAAAGGTACACACCATTTGTATAATTAGTAAGTATTCCGAGCGCTGAATGGTTTTTAAAGTCAGTTTCCCGCATCTAATCTAGCACAATTTTCGTTTAACTCCCTAATTCTCGAAAAATTGTTAATGGATTAGGTTCATAAGAACATAGATTCTTATGAGAGTGTCTAGCTATTAATTGTTTTTGCCCAAAGTGGCTATAGTTGCTTCGTTTTTCTTATAAAACATTCTGTACTGTTTCTTATTCGACTTTTTTATTCGTTTTGATCATGTGTTCGTAATATTAGAAAAGAGATATCTGCAATTAATTACCGAGATCAGTTTTAAAATAACATTTTACTTGTATAGAAAAATTTACCTCAGAAGATTGGAGTCAGTCTAATGCAGGTTTGATTTATTCGTTGAAGTGTCAAGAATGTGCGTCTTCTCTGCTTTTTAGGATAAAATAGCTACTTGCGTAATAAATAATGTTATCACACTGAAAAATAAAGTTTACCTATCGATAAGGAAGGGAACCTTAACTATCTCTGGACTGCCCTTAAGGTAGTTGTTTTCTAATACAGAATTGAATCATATGTAACAATATTTAAATTATGTTATGCTGGGATTAATAGCAAGGGAAAATGTGATTGTGGGATATTTTGACGATCTCTGTAACTGCCTACGAAATTCATAAGAATTCAATGGTTCTCTAATAGTCTCTTAACTCTTATTATTTTTCGAATTGTAATATGCTCAACCAATCCTTATATATGCTCATGATCAAATATAATTAACTTTTTAATCACGTATTACCGGAAATACTGTGGGGAAAAATTTTCTCAAAAAAATGTATGTGATTTCTAATATTTTTATAAGGTAACGGATTGGCGGTCGTAGGTTTCGATGCGTGCGCCAATGCCCAGCGTCTTTGTTTTATTTTAGTTCAAACGTACGATCGGGCTGGCCACGATCGCCCTCGCGCACCTACGTAAAAATTGTAAGGTGCGCGTGCAAAACGGATCTTTATTTATTCTTTCCATTAACCAGTGTCTTGCCGTGGCAACCTCGAGNAATTTTTAATTCACACGCATGGCGTCTACTAAAGTATAGCTCGTCTTATCGATGTTTAGAAAATTCAATTTTTTATATTGTATTTATTCGTATAGCGTGTTGAATATACAAATTATTGTAAATGTTAATACTTTTTGTGAGATTTGTCTGCGGGCGATAATTAATGATTCCTAGGTGAAAATTAACGTAAATATATATTTAATGATTGAAAATCCATATTAATATTTAAAACTAAGCTGAATGTTAAGCACAAAAAATATATTTCTTAAGCTAAGTATTACTGGTGAATAATTAATTAAAATATTATACAAAACTTTTATCTACTTTGCACATAATAAATTTAAAATCTTATTACTCAGTAGTATGTCTATAAAATGAGTGTACGTGCTCACTAATGTATACATATGTTGTAGAAGGCCAAAAAAGCAGCCCCAAGTAAAATATCAAGTGAGAGTACTAAGCAGAATAAGGTAGAACCTCATCCCATGAATCCACAAAAAATGTAAATAGTATGACAAATGATGCCAAAATTAAAACTACTACAAATAAAGAGCTATCAAAGGATAGTTGTATCACCGTAAAAAAAATACATGCCTCGATGTACAAATAAATAACTCTAAAAAACGGTGCATGGCTGCAGAAGTAACGGTAAAGTATAAGTGATTGATCGTTATTCAATACTATACGTAGAACTTAAGTAGTCAATCAGAAACTTAAAAGGTGACAGTAGACAAAATAAATAGATAAAACACTTTAATCCCAAGTAGAAAGATAGGTTTATAAAGTGTAGACTGTATAAAGTTGAAATTGTAGTCGTGCTTTAAAAAGTATAATAAGCCACATGTTTCTTACTTTTAAGCTTCCAATTTTCCACTTCAGGTTTAGAGTGCAAAATTTACTTGCAATTGGAGTATTATTTTTATTCAAAATCATCTAAACTAAATGAATTTCTTGCAACCGTAGCCCACTTCAAAGAAATTAATAATTAGTACTATGAAAGTCGATCCCAGCGACACGAACAATGGAAGTAAGAGTCGGATGGTATCCAAGTTAGAGTCCCAGGTAACTGTATAGAAATTCTGTATATTATGCGCATGTGAAGACCGAGACAGCTGGTATTAATATAAATGATATGGCTCGATGTTCGATGTAATACGTGAATTCAAAAAATATCGATTGAAAAAAAAAAAAAAGTAACCGTTATTGCCATCTGTGTCAGCACCCCAGTATTACAGTGCACCCTTTTCTAAGGCACAGGTACACAATGAGCCCACAGGCGCAAAGTACTTGTTGAGGAAAAAAGTGTCATTTGCACCTTCGGCCATATGAAAACCGCGCCCTCCGGTGTCACATTTTGTCCTTAGCACGCTAGGTGCGCAATTTGCTATTCACCAATTATTTTCTTAAAATCTAAGTCGTCAACATACAGCTCTAATGATTCTAATACAGTTAGAAAAAAGTATTTTCTCGAAAATGAATTCAATGAGGCTGTTTCTTTTTCCATATGAAATCTGTCGCCAAGCAATAACATAATCGACAATTTTGAGAACATCGCAGCTGATATGCAAAATTTTTCAAAATTCATTTTATTTTTAGTTGTAATCACCAGCTTTACCTGTCGTATGCATAACAAAGAATAATTGACAATACAATCAGTGATAAATTACATGTCAAAGTAGCGTGTGCACTAAATTACCCAGGCCCACCGAACAATAACTTGATACGGCTTCAGTGGTACCCATTATATTAGCTGCAATTATGAACCATGTTGGATAAACATTTAATGACACTATAAACTTTTAACTTTATAAGGGAGATCCGTATTAAGCGATGGAATTACAGAAAATCAAAATATACCACTGTTGAAGAATCAACCCACATTATATAGTCAAACTTTTGCAGTTCCCGATGCTGTCAAAAAAAATCAAATGAACCATCCTGACAAAAGTACCAGTGCACGCCAAATTGGGAGTCTTCAAGTGAAGAACTCAACAGCTACTTCCCCACATCATTCCATGGACAAATCAAGAAATATTGAAAAAGGTGATGCAAGCGATAAAATGAAAGAAAAGGTTTTGACAAAAGAAAAAAAAATTAAAAGTAGAAATAGCTGAAAAGGAAACTCAACTGACAAGATAAAAAAGTTTGTATTTAGATAAATGTGAGGAAGTTAAACGATGGCAGAATGCAAACATGAATATGCAAACTAAAATTTATGAGAAGCTCGACGAATATGGTAAGAAGTCATTATTCACGTACATGTTACAAGTTTCCTTACAGTGCATTAAAAATAAAAATCTAAGACAGTATTCTGTTTTCAGCAAACAGATAAACAAATCTGTTTAAAAATAATATTAAGGGGGACTCAAACATCGGTTTCCTACGAAAGACCGACAACACTGTAAGATTATTAAATATATTTTATAAATCATCAATACAATGCATTACTTTCCATACCTTATTATTAATTACGTATATAATTAATTGTGAATCCATAATTACCGACAATAGAAAAATTATCGGTTTTCCGATACACTGTGGGAATAACGTTTACATAAGCAAAACGGTATATGATAACGCGAAGGTTAAAGCCGCAAGACCAACTGATTACCCAAAGTTCGTTAAAGAAATGCAATGGCTATTTTTGGTGCTGACACCCTGAAAGCTAGTAGCGTGACAGGACGCAAATGTAACAAAACGAAAAATCAGCCTAAAAACCCACTGGACTCGACACAGCTAGGAGCTGTATATGGTAAGAATACGTGCTTATAAATCTGAAGTACGTAACAAAATAACTAATCATGCTTTAGTAATACCTGACGTTGGTAAATTTATGTTACAGGAATTTTCGGCCACTTCTTGACAACCGAAAGAAGTGCCAATCCAGTGGACATAGAATTTGAAAACAAAAAATTCGGACAATATATGGCTGTTAAAATCAGTGATTTAACTCGTCCTCCCAAGCGCATTCGAAAAAGCCTCAGATCACGCACGAAATGGAAGAAGAGGACAGTGCTAAGATTGAAGAATTGAAGGAGGGCACTCAGGTATCGCATGCTGAAGTACTCCATGACGCTTCGATCATTGAAGAGAGTGCTGTAGCCCCTAATTCAGAGGATAATGTTGATGATAATGAGGATGATAATGAGGATGATGGTGAAGATGTGAATGAGGATGATAATGTGAATGATAATGAGGATAATGAGAATTATGCCTCGGAAGAGGACCATACTATCGAAAGTGAAATAGAAGATGGCAAGAATAACAACTAGTGAACAAGATACAAATGTGATTAAATACCCAAACAGTTTAAGCTAAAATTGAATGGTATATTGTTAAACTAAAAATGAAGAAAACATAAGATTTTACATAAACCAATAATTTAATTGGTTATGCACTGACGAGAGATTTTAACCATTGTCCATGAATTTTTAATTCACACGCATGGCGTCTACTAAAGTATAGCTCGTCTTATCGATGTTTAGAAAATTCAATTTTTTATATTGTATTTATTCGTATAGCGTGTTGAATATACAAATTATTGTAAATGTTAATACTTTTTGTGAGATTTGTCTGCGGGCGATAATTAATGATTCCTAGGTGAAAATTAACGTAAATATATATTTAATGATTGAAAATCCATATTAATATTTAAAACTAAGCTGAATGTTAAGCACAAAAAATATATTTGTTAAGTTAAATATTAATCAATGATGAATCAGTGATTCCAAAGTGAAAATTAAGATAAATATTTATTTAATGATTAAGAATCAAAATTAATGTTTAAAATTTACGTGAATGTTAAGTACAAAAAATAGATTTCTTAAGCTAAGTATTACTGGTGAAGTAAAAATAGATCTATTTCACCGAGTGTAAGTCTAATCAAAAAGTTTGCAGTATTGTTGCTAAACTAGGAACTTATCGTATGTAAGTAATGCAAGAGACGATTATAATTTGGAAAAGTTTGAAATGTTTGAGACAAGAATAAACAATGCTGTATAATACTTAGGTAATTTATGTATTTTTGTTTATGATATTGCCACTCTCTAATACATAGTTATGTAAGAAACTATATAAATACAAGTTAATTTAGCAATAATCAAATGTAGACTGAGTGTAGGTAAACAGCCATTTGCCACAAATTTCTTTCAATCAAAAATATTATTAAGTGAATGACGATTCTTAACTTGTTCGTATAAATTGTAATAAGAAACAGAATTAGAAGCAAGTGCAGTGTCTATACCACATCAGAAAAATCGAAATGTGGAGTTCACAATACAATTTATTAAATAAGAAATATATATATTTTTGTGAGGTAAGAAAACTCTGTGTAAAGTAATTAGAGTGTAGCGCAAGAGATATATTTTTCCTGAATTGCAATGAATTACATCAGCCACAACTTTGTTTTTTAAATCGACTTTTATGTTACAATAACTGTGTGAAATCACGAATACCACTTCAAAATATCATTAAACGTAATGTCAAGAAGTTGAAAAAATTTAACCAATTCCATGTTTACCTTGATTTCTGAAAAGCACCCATATCATAAAATAATATGTATCATGTTATGTATTATAAAACCCATTGCATCACTAACAAAATCAGGTATAATGTTTGAAAGTTTGGATACATTCCAATGAAACTTCCCAGTAGTAAGAACTTACTTATAACTTAAAATTATGTTAAAAAACAGTGAGAAACAACGTAAAATTTTAAGTAAGTGCTGAGTAAAATCTTTAAAAAAAAACTGATGTATCATTGCAAGATCCTACATCCAAAATGGATAACCAATACATACCTAAAAAAAACATCTTAAATTGCTGTAAATCCAATATAAATACAAATACAAAAATTAGTGTCGCGTATAGATTTTCCAATAAGTTCTAATAAGTAAAAAATAATGTTTCAAAAATTATAAACATATTACGATACAGTTTAAATAATCTGAAATTGGGATACCACATAGACACAGATAAAACTAATGCATAAAGCACTGTGTATTACAGTAAAAACCAATATATTTTCAAACATTTCAACCAGTATATTCCAATAAATTTCAATAAAAAAAATGTTTTGACAGCTAGTAGCATATCACAATAACAATCAATACAATCACAAACTGGAATACCAAATGAGCACCAATAAAATAAATGCATGACGTCACTGTGTTTACAGTAAAAACCAATACATTTGTAACAGTGCTACAGTGTTTATCCCAATAAATATCAATAGAAATAATGTATCTACATAGATCAGGATATTACAATAACAACAATTCATAAAACAATGACTCATAATTACAAATAAGCACCGATAAAATCAAAGCAAAATTAACTCTATATCCTGGTAAAACCCAATATATTCCTAAAGATTTCGAGCTTTACACTCGCATTTTTCTAGTGGAAATCTAGGTATTTTTCTACATAAAAACAGTTCTGAAGGAGCAAATTAATCCTATTTTAACGAATACAGGTTAATACAATTTTTACATGGCTTTTCCAGTAGGCACTTATAAAAGTAATGTTGGTTTTCTTTTGTCCAATAAAATTCAATAGAGTCTATAAGTGCTTAATGCATATTGATATATTTCCTATAAAATTCCATAAATGGTGCTAATGCTTTATAATGCCACATTTTTCAGAGATGAAGACTGTACATATACTCATAAAATCCCATTTAATCCACATCCGGTTTCCCCTATAAATACCAACAAATAATTCATTCTCATTAGACTATATCTGGAATTGCGGGTGCAAATACCTACTACAATCATATATGTTTCGGCTAGTCATACCTTCAAATCGCAGGTGCGGTAATTTTTTTCTTTTTCTTTTTCTTTTTTTTTTCTTTATGGCTACCATATTTAGATCTTTATTACAACGAATTAATGGTTACAAAAATTGCGTCAACAATTAATTTTAAACGTATTAGTTTTTAATTACGTTTTACAAATTTTTGCCATAGTTACTGCCTACAAATTACTACAAGGCTTCCTGAAGCATAGGGGTCGCTACGAATTTAAAAAACATTTGAAGCCCGTGGTTATTAAGATCTGCCAAGGTGCATCTTACATACATAATTAATATGCAATTTAGTATTATTAAACCTGTTTTTTGTAACCACCTTAAATAATTATTGCAGTATCTTTTTTTAAAGGATTTTGTTTATGGCAGGTAAGGTTACAATTGATCTTACGTTTATTAAAAAAAAAAAAAAAAATCAAGTGCAGCGTTTAATTATGTGTTTACATTTTATAAGGCACGAATGCTAACATTTGACAATACATACCACAAATTGTCATAAAATAAAACACTTTAATAGGGTGGAAAGTTAATTTGATTACCATAGCTACAAAATGCAATTGCCACTTTGCACACTTGAAACAACATTGTGCATGGGCAAAAAATGGCCTTACGGGCAAAAAGTAGTACTTTACGCCCTCGGTAAAAAAATACACAACTTAGTAGTAAGTGCACCAAAACTCTTAATTTACCTCAAAACGTTTTGCATTAAGAACTGTATGATTGTTTTTAATAAATGTCATGTATGTAAAATACGGATTTACTTGAAACGTAGGTACTTTTCTTACAAAACTCCAGTTGCAAGTTTACAAATATGAATGATTGTACAAAAATGAGAAAAGTTCGAGGTAAAGTTTACTGGAACAAGGAAAAATTTTTTTGGAAACACGTCTCTGGAAAATTTTTGTACTTTGTAGGTTTGCGACAAAAAAACCAACACTTTGTTAATTAATACAGTTTACATTACGTTTTTTTTTTAGGTATTAAATTTAAAATTACATTTTTAAATTGTTTTTCCTCTTGTTGTTATGAGTTAAAATAAAAATTGCAGTTTGTTCCAAAAACAAAAAAAAAAACAAAACAAAGTGCTTAAAATTAATAGATATTTTGTTACTAAAAAATAAAAAAACTAAGCCCATGCCTTAACTACCGTTTTACTTTTTTTTCAAAGTCCTCATGCAATCTTCTCGAGCTTAGAAAAAAGTGTTTTTAATCGCTAAATACTTAAAAAAAAAATTATTTTCTATGCTTGCTGTCTTAGAGTTGTGATTTAAAACTATATATAGTATAGTAGTATAGTATAGTACAGTACAGATGAGCAGGTTATAAAATTTTTAATACACGAATCATTTGACATGCTATAAATTTATGTTTTACACAAACTCTGAAGCTGAAAATTATAATAAAATTGGAAAAGAGGAAAATTGTAGCACAAAAAAAATCTTAGATGCTTCATGTGATGCTCGTTTCAAATTTCACGTTTTGTTAATGAGCTTTGTGCTTCAATTTCTTAACTCCTTTAATGCTATTTTCCAAACGAAAGGATTAATGATTAAGGTTATTTGCAATAAATCTCCGATGTTTACTTTGGCCCATATGCTCCCAAAACTTTTGCTGAAATGTTGAAAGATTCTATTGATGAAGTTCGAGGAAACTGTTTAAATTTTTATATGACATCGTTAAAAGAAATGAAAACGCATTTTTTACAACATCATAGTTCTTTGCGGTATTTAGTTTTTGTTGAGCTATCGGTGGCCTTAAATGCTGAAAGAAATGGAGAATTAGAAGATTTGTATTACTTTCAAAAGTATTTCCCAAAATTTGATCACTCAAAAATAACTGTGTAATGGATAAAATTACAGTTTTTCTTTGATTCTGTGAAACGCGATGAATTATTAAAGTCATCAGTTGAAGAGTTTTTAACAATTATATTTAATACGACTATTGGAGATGTCTTAGTCTTTTTGACCTTAAGGTTATTAGCGACAGCTATTTTTTCTTTTCCACACTCCAATGCGGAACCCGCAAGAAATTTTACTGACCTTACTGACCTTAAAGCTGTCAAAGGTAACAAGAATGGTATAGTGCTACTTAATACACGATGTTTTTTGCATTCACTTGGTGAAGCCAGGGGTTAGACTAACTTTAATTTTGAACCGACGGAGTGAGACTTCAGTCTTTTTAATTCCACTACTACATATAGTTGAAACCAACTCTTCCTTCTACTTTGGTGATAGCTAATATTATCTATTGCATGTTGCATAAACAAATTTCTTCTTTAAATATGGTAATAGGTAAGGTTAAAATATGGCTCTTGGCAAAGGTACCTGCGTTACAAGTACATGTGTATTAACATACATGACATTTGTTTAAGATAATTGTGTAGTTCTTAATGCCAAATGTTTCAAATCAAATAAAATTTTTGGTGTACTTGCAACTAAAAAAACCTAACTTGCTATTCGCTTCGTGCA